CGACGCTCCTGCTCCCGTCAGCGCCCTTCCACCACTAACGAGGTGGCAGCTGAGGAGGGGAAAACATCCCTCTTAAACAGCAAGCGAACACAAACCAGTACTACTGGGGAAGGCTCTCAGGCCTGGGCAAGTGGCAGAACGCCGGGCTACTATGTTGAGTAAGTGCTTCCCTATACTAAACAGAAAATAAAAGTATTTTTTTTTCTGTGGCCAATACTGACAGTGACTCTCTAAGCTAGTTTTGCAGCAGAGGAATTCACTTGGGACAAATATGGACACAGGCCCGGTGTCAGCAGGCAGAGCCAGTCAACACGTCATGGGGCCCTGGCCCCCCGCCCCAACCATCACACGCAGGATCCCGCACACACGAGGGAGAGGTTCGCGACAAAAACCAACCCTTCAGTGCAAGAGGTTTGTCAGTACCATCAGAGCAGTAAATCTGAAAAATAGGTTTTATTTTTAACCAGTGGTATTGTGACATCTTATCTGGCATAACCAATTACAGCAAAATTCATGGATAGAACCAAAATAGCAGATCTCTTCTTTGAAGTGCGTCCTCCTGCTCAGCCTGCAGGCAGCTGAACAGCATTGCACTGAAGGAAGGGAGTGCATGCCCCAAGGGCTCCCGGCAGCCTACGGACTCCGAAGGAGACATTCCCACTCACGCACGCGCACAGACACACACGCACACACACACAATGTCTATATTTTTTAAAAATCTGCAGCAATATTTCCGCATGAAATCACACTGTAGCATCTACACATAAAATGGCTGATAAAAATAATCTGGCTGTAGGTTTACATAGTCTATCTACATTTTCATCTGAATACCTGGACTGATGGTCCAGCAGAAAAAGGAGGTTTTCTGTCTTGATTTTGTTGGGCTGAGGAGAGTTTTGTCCCAGAGCACGACACAACTGCTCTCTTCATCTCACCCCAGACCTTTATTAAGTGTTTGACCTGAAGAGATCACTGAAAGTCGCCTAGGAAGAAGCAACAGCCATGCTATCCGTGTCCCAGCCCTTTGTGCTGCCTCTTCCAACAAGGGTAAAAACACTACGAAGGGTTCCTCTCCACCCCACAGGTAACAAGAATACAAAATACTGCAAAAGCCTTTCTCCTCACATACACAGGAACGTTGTCCACACGGGATCCCTGCAACAAATCAATGCCTGCAAGCGTCTCCTCCGCGAGCCCCAAAAGCGGGCTCCGAGCTCCCCAGGTGCCGTTCCAGCACAACCACGCCGAGGCACCTCCTTCCCGCCACTCGCTAACCCTGGGCGCTTCACTCACGCAGAGTCCCGCAAAATACAAAATACTCGAACCATGTTTGTGTTCAAACGTCCGCCCTTCTCGTGTTTCCTCAGGCAGAGATCAACCTGCTAAAAAACAGCCAAGCAGCTCTTATCTGAGAGGGTAAAAAAACCTCTAGTAAATGTTAGCTTTATATATATAAATATTTATATTTATAGATATAGACAGTGAAAGGGAGATTGTGGGTTTCTGCATGCTTATTTCTTTGCTTTGGATTCCAATACTTCTAAGAAAATTCTTTTCAGGAAATAACTTAAGTTCTGGCACAAGACGCCACAGTTGTTTCTTTGAAGAATGTTTTTTACATTTGATCTCACGAGAAACCCTCCGTCCCAAACTCTCCTCCTCCGAACCCAGAAGGTCAGAACAAAGAAAAAGGTGCATGTTTCTATGCCGTAGATTTTGTCCTTTCCTCGTCGAAGCCTCCAGAGTGGCAGGTATTTCACAACGAGCTGCAGCACAAGAGGAAGGATGCTGTGACTTCATGGCACTGGCTGAGGTACTCAGTAAAATAGTTCACTGATGATTTAACTGCCCCAGTGCCGCCCCCAAAAAAGTAACAACAGAAAATCAAGCAGCTCTACATGCACATACAGCTAGGACATGCAAACACACCCCACTTTTTAAGGAACAAAATACACAAACGTGTGGCTAGCAAGAATCTTCTCCAGCCTCTGGCTCCTGGAAGCGAATGCTGGGAAGCCTCGGAATGAGAGGAGGGGAAGAGGGAAAAACACAGGAATATCCAAATCCAGGGGTAGAGGCTGTTGCCTCGGAAAGTTATTTCCTGATTACATCAAGATCATGCCTGGCTATCCGGGAGCCTTCACCCTGAAAAAAAGTGGGTCAGAGATCTCCACTCCAGACTTCCTTTCCTCTCTCTCCTCATTCAATTTAAGGCACAAACATATTTACAGTTTCAAACAAAACCTTTTCACGTTCCAAGAATCAGACATTCGCAGGCCTGCACATTCTGCTGTGCCACAAAGATCCAGACGTAAAGCGGCCGTCTGGCATCGAACAAGGACACCCCTCAAACCCACCTTCAGTCCGGAAGAAAACAGAGGACTCTCTAAGCCTACAAACCAACTTCCATCATTCTGAGGTTACTTAATTGTAGACCAATTGATAAATGGCAATGATTGTAACCAAACGTTAAACGTCAGCTGCCCCACCTTGCCCCAGCAGTGCCAGCTGGCTGAGCACTGCTGCTCTGGAAGGACCGGAGAGCAGTCAGAACAGGTCTCCAGAGGCTTGCCCCAGGCTGGACACAGAACACAAGAGAGCATGCAGCATGTTTACACAGACTCGGCTTTCTTCCCTCCCCCCCTCCCCAATTCAACACACACAAAACCCCTCCACCAAGGAGAATATTGTTGTGACGAGGCACTTGAACGATAATTGGAGAGTCCCTAGGAAAAGGCCTTCCCCTCACAGTGAAGTGGGACAAACAGAAGAGAGCAGTTGCTCAGGACTCCATCTCCTCTTGGTCAAGTGGTGGTGGCACAAAGCTGATGACTTCATCGTAAGTCAGGCCTGGGAGGAAAAGCATAGCAGAAACTTAACAGGCAGTACTAAAGATATCCCTCACGCAAGAAAACCTGCAACAATCTGAAAGGTTCTAACACCACTTTAAACAAAAAACCATGGCTTAAGAAGAAAAAGAACAGAATGGTTACACCATTTTCAGAGACTGGCATGCACAATAAAAGACACTTCCAGAGCATTGAGATGATGTGAGTAAGTTTGGAAACAAAGAGATAAGCAACTATGTCACCTACATGTTTGTACGCTCATAGTAACAATTAGTTACCAGGGATTACGCTCATTATGTGCACAGCACGTGGCAGATTCACTCAGTGTGAGGACCTCAGAACAAACAGCATGCCCGCGTTTTTATCAGCTTCTTTTGTGCCTCTAACTACCATGGCTCAGCTGAACCGCAGCTGTGGCACAGGCCACCAAGGAAGGAGGTCGGCTTGCTCTCTGATCCCCCAAACTCACTTTTCCACTCTTCAATCTCAAGTTCTCTGCTTTCAAAGGACTGGTCGTAGGGGTCTGCCACTGGTTCGTCATCCGGGTCGTGATACTGAGCAAAGTAGGCATGTGCCAAGGCTTCTGCTGCAGTGATGCGTTTGTCTGTGTCCAGTACCAACATCTTCTCTAGCAAGTCCACAGCTGCAAAAGCACCAAACCAGAAAAGAAAGGATTTTACAGTGAGCTGTGTGACACTGGGCTTTTACGAGCTTACATTTCAGAATGCAATGTATATGAGGAATTGCAGTTTTTCAGGACCCGCCCATCATCCACAATCTCTTCCTCTTACACCCTCAGCCCAGCCACGCTTTGTAAGCTTTGACAATGGCACGTAGCTCTGTTCTGAACCACTTCTGCAGTCAAAAGGAAACTTGGGGAAAGCCTTGACGTCCCGGGACATGCTCGCGCCAGCTTCAGGAAGAGCACACCACATAAACAGCGAGCCTTACCTAGCGGATTGGCACCAATAAACACATTTTCAAAGTTCATTTTCGGCATGTAAGACAAAGACTGAATGTAGTTTCTTGCCTGTGGAAATAAATGCTCTGTTGAAGTACAACACAATCCAGGCACCAAGATAAAGTACATTTCAATCATCCTGAACCACCGGTTATTATGGTCTGCCTCCTCGCTTTGCCTTCTCTTTACTTATTCTGATACTTACTAAGCCCATCAGCATTGCCCCTTCCCAACTAAAGGCCGCTCAAGACAGTAGAGGAAGAGCTGACGTTACTTGGGGTTCATGCAAGACTGAAAAGCAAAGAGGTGCTGCCAGAGCTGACTGCCTCAGAGTCCCGGGAAGGCTGCGTGCAGTACAGAGTTGGCTGGTAAACCGCACAGCATGGCACATGATGCAAAAACAACTCGCACCCGGGCTCTCCCCAGTCTCACAGCTCTGGGGTTGAGTACGCACTGTCCAAACCTCAAGTCTTCATATAGTACAAAAATCTTGCTGCAGAGCAGGTAGTTAATTGCCCACCCCATGCCACATGCGAGCATATCACTTTGAAAAGCAGCAAACACTGCAAGTGAAGACCTGCCCTGCAAACCCCCTTCATCTGCTCAGGTCTCACCTCGTGGCTGGGCATCCTGTTAATGAGATATGCAGGGGGTGTTCCCGTCAGACGCATGATCTGCTGAAGCTGGTTAATATCTTAAGTGCCTAGTCAAGGGCTTTGTTAAAAACAGTGCAAAAACCATTTTAAACAGAAAACAGCTGCATACAAAGCATCTCTTCTGCAAACCACAAGGCAAAAGCCAAACAGGCAGGCTCCACTAATTTTTTCAAATACTTGTGAAAAGCTTAGCAGTTGCACCAGTGAACACTTAATGGAGAATTACTGACCAGTTGGTAACAGTGTCAGCACAGACAGTATTTCTGTCCGCCATAAGCAGCATTATACTATAATGTGGTTGCGTTCACATTTCCCAACAGTTTTATGCCACCAGAGCAGACGTTTCCTTTGGCTGCAGCTACTCCTCAGAAATTTTCTTAGGCTGCTGCAACTACATACAGCCCCAGGAAAATCAACAAAAATTAAAACAGCAACAAAAATTGTGTCCTCTGCACTGGTTACCAGCTTTTTTTCTTGCTGCATAGAAAGTACTTCAACTCCTTGTGGTGCAAAGTGAAATTGGCTCGCAACTGACACCTCCTTCTAAACAGCTTTGAATGCACTTGGAGACGTGGGCGAGGTGACAGAAGGCAATAAACGCAAAATTAGCAAAACATTAGCATTGCATAAGACAAAGTTAGCTGATGTCAGTGAACAGACAGAGAAAGTAAGAGCAAGTAAAGTAATGCAACAGAAAACCAGAAATCGTTACAGAGACACACTACAGGCCCTCCGACGCTTCATAGCTTTGCTGTCTCTGTACAATGCAAAAAATTAACAGAAACAGTACTTCACTGCACCTGTTTTTTTTAAACAGGCTCTTGATTTGGACCTGGCTAAGAGAAATTGGTTTTTTCAATGTGCCACATTAAAATGTTAAAAAAAGGACCCACTTTAATCTTATGTATGTAAACTCATCTTTTGCTTAACCTGGTCAACCTTTAAGCTCCTCTCCCTTGCTAATCCCCTGTACTTCACACACCATCCTGCCCTTGCCAGGTCCCAGAAGGTCAGAGCACAGGGCACCCACACAACCTGCAGTGCCTGGATTCAACCTTTCCCAGGGCAGAACATCCCAGGGCTGTTCACACTGGTGTGATATCCAGTAAGCTGACCAACTGATTCCAGCTTGCACCGCATGTCTACCTTCATCAAGTGGCTAACCTCACATTTTGCATTCACCGTCGCTGTTACATGAAAAAACATCAGCTGCAGTGCAAAATAATCTTATCATCACCCTCCACCACGCTGATCCTCTGTTACGATCAGAAACAGCAGAGTGCCTTGCTGCTAGTTACCCCTACGCAAGCTTGGTGCTCACTATGCACTAACCTGCTCCTCCGCACTGTTAGGGCATCCCTTGCTCTAACCTTTGTGCACTTCACCTTCGAAACAGGGAAAATTAAACGCCATTTAATACTGTCTTTGCAGTATTTCACAATTCAAGATTGTAACAATCTAGAAATGGCAGTATGGCTGAAAATATGAGGTCGCCCTTTAAAAGGGAGATTGCAGAATTTTGCTATCACCTGGATAACAGGGCCCCATACAGCAATACCCTTTAAATACACAGCACAGTGAGTTATATTCGCAGCAGACTATCTGCTGTGTGCCCTGGAAACAGCTGCCACATAAAAGCACCTAAAAGGCATTTTGGATTTTATGCTACAAAAACAAAAGATGGTGGCAGTAATGTTTCAGAAGTCAGCTGTACTACAGCAGGGACTGTGAGCATTTAGCAGATAATGTGCTTGCTCCTGTTCAGAAAGATCCTTGGGTAGGCAATCTGGAGAAATAATAATTGAGACAAGCCTCAGGCTCTTAGCTGTGAAACATACTTCCCCAGCAGCATGTGATCGTACAATATATCACGAAGTATAAGCCCACAAACTGAAAGTCACGAAGCAGTAAAATGAGAATATGGAAGGAAGAAATCATACCACAGGCAGAGGCAAGAGCAATAAAGATCAGATATGCACAGCATAAGAACTCAAAGCCATCCAAGAGCAAAGAATGACAAAGGAAGAAAAATAACAGAAAAAAAATCCCAACACATACTACAGATAGACTACAGGAGGGGCAACACACAAACTTGGGACTTCCGAAAGGGCAGGTATTACAATCAAAGTGTAAACTCACAGACTCTGAGGAGATTTTCTTCAAAAGCTCAGGCCCTGGGGTTCCAACGAGTCTCAAAATGAGCTTCAACTGATCAATATCTAATGATGGACCATAAAGGAAAATGCTGGGACAAATCAAAATGAAAAGCGCAACATATCAGCCTAATAATGTCAAAAGTTCATGCCTGCCAAGGCCTGGACTGAAAAGCTGTTTTAAGCAGACAGTACTCATTGCTCTCGTTTACAGTCGAACACCCCCTTACGACACAGCTCTGTCTGTATCAGACAGGTCGAAGGACTTCTCTACAAACACGCCCCATGCATTGAATCGGTCTCTGCATCCTCAGCCACCGCGGAGCAGAAGTCGCAGCTTTCGCCCCAGCGGCGCAGGATCTGTTCACATGCTCGCTTCGCCCTTCGGGCCCCGCACCAAAGCAGCAGCAGTTAGCAGGACTGTGTTAGTGACAGACGGAGTCAAGCAGAAGGCTCAAAAGTGTAGGCACTAATACTACAAAAAAGTCAAGGCCTTTTGTGAACGCCTTCCAAGGTAATTCTTACTTTCTAAGCTTTAGAAGTGGCTGAAAATGACTGGACCCTGCTGGTGACCTACAGCAGACCTCCACCCAAGCACAGGGTGCAGCTTTCCGCGTCCCGGAGCAGCCAGGCGCTGCAGGCGGCTCCCCGGAACAGCAGCACCCGAGCACACATCTCCTCCGCCCCAGCCACAGAGAGGACAGAGCCTGGGCTCAGATTTAAAATCGCTGTGAAAAGCCTCAGAGTTCCTGTAATACTGGCGAACTGTATATGAGGGAAATCACTATTACTTCGCTAAAACTTTTACCTTTTGATGTAAACTTTGGTCTAAAGTTTTACATATGCAATCAATTGAAAGCCCTGGAAATGAGACTTCGTCACAACAGCTAAACTAATGTCTCGCCTCTCTCAAGTTGCTTGGCCAACTCTCACCTATGTGAACACTCCAAACCTCAGAGTAAATCCAATGTATCTAGTCGGATTTAGCTTAGCTGCTGAATCATCAGCTCTTAATTGTCACTGCTTAAAATGAAGTCAGTACATCCCCTGGTGCAGGAGAATTAGCAGAGGGTGCCACACTAACCACAATGAGCTCATCTCAACTGGCTTTGCTTCAGTACCATTTAGGACAGCCCTTACACCTTTCACTCGTTCTTGTGCAAGAAACAGTTGTGCAAATTCTGGACTGCCAGCATGCTTCAGAAATCGCATGCCATACCTCAGATAAAATATTTAAATTCTTTTAAAGGCATTCAAAATCATGCACACCAGGTACCCCAGCAGTATTGCTGCCCAGTTTGCTGTCAGCTCTCTTCCCAGGGGTCAGCATGCTATGGGAAGACACTTATGTAATATTCTTCAGCGTCTTCTCAGATAAACAAGAGGAAACCCAGAATGCACAACTGGCACGGCCACAGGCACGCCAAAACCCAGCCCCTGCTTCTAGTTTCAGGCCTGCCACCTATACACTGCTGAACTGAGCATTCGTTTAACTACCGGGCCTACCACGTCACAGAGAAATGAGCCGTAAGCAATTAAAAGACAGGAGAAACGCTTAGTAAATACAAAGCAAAAGAAAAAAACCAACAAAACACATGTGCATGGAGAAGGAAATGCAGCATGCAAACCCCAAATGCCGTCACCAAGGTACCCCCAACGACTGCTGAGTCTCAGCGATTCTAAAATTCAGAACACCACCTGCCGTCACCACCAGCAGCAGGCACCGCAAGACTCTAACAGCTTATCCAGGCAAAGCAAAGTTCAGAAGCTGTTTTAGCCGCCACCACAAGCAAGAGTAAGGTGTATCGGAAGAACAGGCAATTTCAGACTGGTTAGTCATCATGGAAGCACCATACTACTGAATAAAAATAATAATAAAAACACTCTTCAGAGTTTAAAGGGAATACAGTCAACTTCAAACATACAGAAAAAGACAATTGGCTAAACTAGTGCAAAACATTCAAGATATTCTTATTTGTACTTTATATCATTTTAATGCAAGCTGAATTGTCAAGCTTAAAGTCAACTTTCCTACTTATTTGTATGAATCACTCACATTACAAGAGCTGTAAAAAAATTAGGAATATACAGTTTTCACAGAAGCCGACCTTGGTATGAGACAAATAGGGTAATAAAAAGAAAGCCTCTAGCTATGCCTCACATTAAAATCCTGAAGGACTCTGATTTTCATTACCTCAATTTTTCATCTCTGACTAGTCTTGCCCACAATCTTGCTCCCTTTCTCCATCTCCTAGCAGAGATTTTACCAACGTTAGAAAATCATCTTTCATCCAAATACGTACACCCAGAGATTACAATAGGAACATTCAATTAGCTCACATTCAGAATTAAGTTAGAAACTATGGGTAGAACTAAGCCCCTATTAATCATAGGGTATTTTAATTTTAAGAGTATTATAATTCCTGCTTTAAGACAGTGGCAGCCATGTTCAGAATCTCCACAGATTAGGTCCTTAAGAATTTAAAACTAAATTCAGCATTAGTTTATCAGCAGCATAATCATCATAGCATCGAAGATCATCACCTTAGCTTTATTACTTACCAGATTAAAATAACTGTACAGCTTGGCAGTACTGAAGTCCCTTACAAGTAATATATGCATCTCTGTGCCATATAAATAAATATCTGATGGACTGCAAATAACATCACACCATTTCCACTAAATCCTTGGTGAAAGGGACCAATATTTCAAACAAGGGAACCATCTGAACAGGAGGATGATCATCCTCAGCATACTGAAAAGGCACTACCTCTTCTGTCAATATCTTATTTCATTGTGGAAATGTGAAGTTATATGAGAAAATTAACATCTTGAGACCAAAAAGCAAGAAGAATGTCTTCAGTTGTCCAACAGGAGCAGTTTCCAGCTTCCTGAACACAGAACACACAGTCACGGTGCCTCCACCTGCAGCGCAGGTTCCCTAGAACTGCGGTGGATTTGGATATACTGCATCCTTGGCTATGAGAAGCATGGAAGTACAGCTTGAATTAAGGATGTTACTATTAATCGCAAAGTCAGTAAGTCAGCAATTGCACAGTGACACTGCAGGAGGAACACAGGCCTCTGCAAATCTGTGGGCACAAATAAATCATTAAGAGCCCAGAAGTACCCAACAGCATCTACATCTGCAAAACTCCTCAAACTTTCTCCAAAAATCATGCATCTACAAGGCTTTCAAAGAGCCTTCCAAGACAGGAAGAAGCTAGACCGCGTTGTTATCTTAGTTCTGCTTGCTGTCTTTAGATGTCAGCAAAGCCGGAGTGAAAGCTGACAGCTTGCTGCCTTTAGAGACCCTTGGGTAAGCGTCACATGCATAAACAAGATTCATAACCACAGACCCTGCTCCACTTCTAGCTGTAACCTCACGGTCAAACAACTTATATGTTACTTAAAGTGGGGAACCACACACACAAGCTGTAAGAACTACAGTACTACAAAGTTTTATCTACAATGGGAAAGGATTGGGCCTTATTTTTCCTAAGATCTAATCGATTCAGAACAAAAAAAGCATTTAATTCAAAAGCGTTACTACCATTTGCGAAAGAAATTTGCATTTAGGCTGAACAATCTCAAGCATCTGCTACGACATATAAATTAGCAACGTATCTTAATAGGACAAAGCAAACAATTTAGATCCTAAAAGTAAACTTTATTTTGCACTGCGGATGTTATTGGCTATAATTCAGAGCTAAGAACACAGCTAGAGAAAAAAACTTCTCAGGTTTGGTAGATAACTGTTTTGTTCAATTCATAAAGAACACATTGTGAAGCATTTCTTACGTACTGCCAATGCTATCAGCAAATATTTCATCTGCAAGTATCGAGATTTTAAAATCTGAAGTGTTACTAAACAGTGGCAACAGCTTAAAGACTTCTGCTTTGTTTGAAACAACAATTCTTGATTATTTTTCTTGACAGAAACAAAGAAAACCTGCCCAAACCAAATCATATGTGCTAAATCAGCCAACAGAAATCTGGCAACTCTTCTCTAGCTCATAAGCCACTCATGTTAGTTCTGCTTCTGTCCCTGATGACAGAAAAACACAGCAGAGCCAACTAAACAGTAAAATGTAACAAGGTCAACAAATTTGAGAGAGATTATGAGATGGAGACAGGCAGAAAAAGAGAAAAAGGGTAAAGTTAAAGCACATTGAAAAGGGAGATGAAACTGCAACGAAACTGGAACAAAAGCCTGCCCCTCCGCCAAAGAGTTTGAGAACCTAGATGCTTTCCAGCAGGAACGTAGGACACAGAAGGCCAGCACTTCCAGCACTAGTTTTCCTTTAATCAAGTGCTAACATATTTGGGTTAACAGATATAAATACTGTTAAATTAATAAAAGTTATTAAACAAACTGCGGTTGAAAGAATAAACTTTGGTAAAAGGTGAGCAATGTAACTTTCTCTGGCAAATAAAGTCCAATTACTAGGCAATGCAAAACCTTGCCAGTAGTAAATTACCCCTGTATGTCATGTGGCTGAACAAACAAAAATTGTAAGTAAAACACTTTGCATCAAGTCTCAGTTCTAATTTCTTGAAGAAAATAACGACCAACTTTCACAAAATGCTCTCATAAATTTGCTGAAGTGGCCTATCCAGCCCACTTTGGTGCAGCAAAACAATTCTGAGATGTTATTCAGGCTTGATTTTTCACATCAAGACAAGCATACAGTAAAAGCAGACTCACAATCTGTTTACGCTCAAGCATGGCAGCGGAACCTAAACATTTCAGAGCAATTTGGAATGAGATCCTTGGCACTAAGGAATCTGCAAACCCACTGCTTTCACAGCATACCACCAGGATACAGAAGAGAGGCCAGAAGGGATGCTTCACATTTGCTAGAAACCTGAAGCGCGAGAGGATTCATAGCAGACAGCCTACTCCATGCAGTTATTTTCTACAAACTCAAAGAGCAATGAATTTAAATAAACTTAAAGAAAAGTAACTTCCAGAAACCAACATGTGAGTAATTCTACTGATACTAATAGACAATAAAGAGGAATAGATTGCCTCCTTGCACACTGTGCTCGTTTCATGTACAGCAAAAATCAAGAACTCACCTCATCGTACTGTGAGTAAAAAGGCATCGATTTAAAGACAAACAAACCACAACCAAACCCAGAGCTTCTTTTCTTGTGAAGTATGTGAAAGTGAAGATCTCTAACTTCCATTTCAAAAAACATATTACTGTTAAAGGATACGGTCTGTACCAGGGAACAACGTTCTTCCAGTCAACAGTTCAGCCATAATGCATCCCACTGACCAAATATCAACTGAACAAAATAAAATAGAAAACAAAATAACATAATGCAGAAAAATAAAGTCTCAATAGAATCACTCTATCCAACAAGTACAAACAACTTTATCCTTAAATAGTCTTACGGCGTTGAAACCATCTGAGCTACGCTGCAAGCTAAGTGATACCATTCCGTAACTACGTCATCTAAGACTTGGCCAAATGAGAGATCACTACATCAGGCAAATTTTCCTTCCACAGCACAACATGCATTGAACACCAAAGAGCTGGGGAGGAATCTACACAATCAAAGAGGAAGAAACCTGTGCGAGACAACTCTGAGGAATTAATTTGCATATGGCCTTATATAAACTCTACACAAACAACCACCAACTCCTATACTACAGATACGAGACACGTCCATATACATGCAAGAGGAAAACAGAAAAGAAGAAAAAGTAGTGAGGTATGAAATCAGAGTAGCACATCGTTTTCTTTGATCCATATGCTCTCCTGTACAAGAACTATTCTCAGAATTCGCTTTTTTTCCCCTCTGTGCCTGATCTGAAGGATTGTAGGGAAGCACAGCGCATTGCTGAGGAGATACTGGAAACTGTGAGGAACATAAAACTGTGAAGAAGTGGCTAAGAGAGGAAAGGAAGAGAGATTTATATGCTTTTTAGCATTTCTTCACACGATAGCTCCTGACATTTTTCAGCATATTCCCAGCAGTTTACTACAAACACACCTTTTCCTCACCCAAACACATTCTATTCACTTACTTTAAACACCACTGTGCTAGGAAAAATAAGGGGTAAGTGCTGACAATATTTTGCTGATCGCAATTTCAAACATCCACATTTAAAGAAGTCTCGTCAATGCTATCACAATGATTTTTAATTTACATCTGGTAGACTGTGGTTCAAATACTGATCTATGCCTTCCTTCTTTTAATCACCCTTACTAAAGCGTAATTACCATGACTGCCCACTTACGCGATCAAATGGAAAGGAGCACGGACAAAGGACAACCTCTTTTTTCCCCACAATTCAGGAACTGAAAAGCCTTGTGTTAGTTAAACGCATTACCTGTCTGGTTGTAATGCATCCAGTTCAGCATGATCTCCGGAGCCCTGTACCAGCGGGTAGCCACGTACCCGGTCATCTCATCATCTGTGTGTCGGGCCAAGCCAAAATCCAGGATCTAGAGAACAAAAAAGACATCCACCAACTACTGCAGTGGAACAATGCAAACTAGTTAGAGCAAATAACTAGGCAGTTATTGGACTGGGTGGAGGTAAGGTGGAGCAACTGCAAAACCGGATTATGAAACTAAATTTCACAACCTGTTAAAAGACACTAGCCTAGATCACCATAGGATGCAATAATCAGAATTACATCTGGATATCTTGTCCCTAAAACAATCAAACCCAAACCAAAACTGTTAACTCTTCACACTTGTGATGATTCATTAAAAACATATGCACAGATACAGAAAAAACACCCTTACAGCCCTTCACAGCTAGGAAGGACATTGTTAGTTTAGGCCACAAAAGTATTTCCATAAGGAATTAATTTTTGCCCTTAATTCCAAGGCACATCCACCAGGCATTCACTCAAATCACAGTCAAACCAACCAGATCTCGTGATTATATTACCTTTAGCTCACAGTCTTCATTTACAGCTAGGTTACTAGGTTTTAAATCCTAAAAAATTAAACAACATCAGCATTAACAGTGGTACATATGTTGTTGCACAAGTCTAACGTAGATAAAAATGTAAATACAAATACAGAATAGATTCCAACTGGCTGTAAATATCAAGTCCCCATACTCAGGAAAATAATTTTATCCCAGAATCAGCTATCTCTGCCGTGGTCCTCAGAGGTGTCACATATAAGCAAAAAATGCATAAAGGCTTCTTGCAACATCAGTGCTGAAAACGTATACTTAACAAAACACCTGTTTCACAAAGATGTAACCTAAACACAGGCAGGAACAGAAACTACTGATCTAGACAACCACTGCCCATGTTTAAGCTTTTCACTGTTTAACTGAAATAATTCTCAATATATTCCTCCTTGTTTCTGCAGGTGCTACACTGTCAGATTCTGTGCTACATTTTTGAAAGACATTGATTCAGCACAGAAAGCAATCCTAGGACACGTACTCACCCGGTGTATTATGTCCGCTGAATGGATGTACTGTAAGGCAAGGTGACAAATTTTATAGAACAGTCCAAGTAGGCTCCTTCTCATTTCTTCACTAGACACCGCCCTGCCCCATTCCACACAATTCAAATGCGCGTCTGCAGGAGGAACCGCGCGTGGCTATGGGTTTCAAGTAGGTGGGAGTCTCACTCTGCCTCTCCTTAGGAACACCCAAGAGCACTGCCACCATGAGGGGAACACCACAAGTAAACAAAACTGAAGAAATGGAAGATTCAGTCAGAGCAGACCAGAGGGCAGCACACTTCGTAATTTTCCAGACTCTGCCCATAGGAATGTACAGAAGTATCTTCTTCAATGATATGTAGCTTTACCAATACAGAGCTCCAAAGAGGTATGAAGGGAAGGAACAATAATAACAGGTTATCCTACAAGACGTTAGGGAAGTTAGAGCAGCCCCACTATGTACTTGTATGAACCTCTGAGCGTACGACACTCATCAAGAGCTTCCACCTCCTGCTGATGAGCTATCAAGGGTCAAGCAGGGCAGGTGCAAGTACCTTCAGTCCCCGAAGAATCTGGTATATGAGGAACTGCACATGGTCATCGGTGAGTTTCTGGCATTTCACAATGTTGTTCAGATCTGCTCCCATAAGGTGTGTCACCAAATACCTACCAACAAAAGGAAACACACAGGCTGTGAAGCAATCTCTTCAACAGGATTAGGATAAAAATTCCCTATGAAGCTGCAGCAGCAGGGCTGGCTGTTCCAAAGCACGTTGCTGAATGAAATATACTTCATGGCACTTTAAAAAATGTAGCAGATTAGCACACCGATGCCTACAGCACTGGTCAATAAAACACAACAATAAGACTTGTTTACTAACAAGTTTGAAGAGTCAAATAGCTTAGGAGGCCCTAGTATCTTTTGTGCTGGAATTCAGAATTGTTTGAGAATGATGGCAGACAATTTGAGGTGGCAAATATTTGTATAATAATCTCAGAGATGTAAGGAAGATGCAAAAGATGTTTTGTTGCAGTCTTCAGAGAAGTTACCTACACATCATTGAATTCTTCTAGTGACTTGGCAGGGGTGAACACATCCAACAAACCAATCACCTAGAAAGAAAACAGTAAAGTGAAAAAGCTGTGAAATACATTCAAAGTATGATACGATAGAGCTACTGAGACCCTTCGTGGAATAGAAACTGCTCATTCCAGTAGCTGTTTCATTTCCAAGCACATGAATCATTCAGATATAGACAGATTAGCATTCATACAAGATCAGAAACAGATGTTCAATTTTTGTGTAAAAAAAATAAATATTAAGGTTAAAAATATACAGCCGTCTTTTCACACCAGCCACCCGCTTCAAGCATCAAACAGGAGCCGTAACAAAAGGCAGGTGTAAACACTAGTTTAAAATACCTTCTTTCAAAAATCAACTGAAGTTTGTTCAGGAAATAAATGGATGAGAAAAACAAAAAACAACCACCAGACAAAACTGTTTGCTTCCTGCTCAATTCTTGGTTATACCGTTGACTACATACTAAAATCAGAATTGGGAGACTGTATTTGTTTCACTTGTACTGAACAATGGCTAGAAAAATTCAAGGATCTGTAACACAAGCAGTGAATAATAATGACTACAGTGGAAAATAAGCCCGGAAACCAGTGCAATGCAATGAGGACCCAATTCTCACAAACAGCGTCGCACTATCACTTGTATTTCTGCCCAAAGAGCAGCTACTCCACCTTTCATTTTACAGCTGAGCTGCTCTAACAGTGAAGAGTAAAAGGATATGCACGTGTCACCTTGTGGAAAACAGTAACTATACCTTATTAGCCCATAATTATCTTCTAAGTCCTTTACAGCATTTAAAAAAAAAAATCCATCTGATTGCTAAAGATTGTTCTAAATTTCACTGGAATGTGCTTTTAAACCTTACTTTCTGTCTCTTAATAGGAAATCATATTTTATTTTATCCACATACGAGATAAAGGGACAGGTTCTCTTTATCTCCTCTTCCCTCTTCAAGTTAGCATCCCACCTGTCTCGGATACTCAAGCACCACACACTTTTCACAAACTTCAGTAGTGACTCCAGCGTGCAAATGAAACCAAGAGCTGGACTCCCGCGCTCCCCTTCGCACCATCCTTTTTATCCTACTGTTTACACTTCTCAAGATGTCAGAATCAATCGAGTTATCTCTAAGTAGAGAATTGCAGACAAAATCTTTGAGGAACCTAGACTACGTTTTGGAAAAGAAAGCAAGTGGGTAGGGAATAAAAGCTTCCGTCTAATCTATATTACACACTACAGATTGCATTCTGTTGAGAAAACCAGAGAGACAACACTTTCCTGCCTCTCTTCGTACACATCACAACAATTCCATTTATAGACAGACACCTTCTTCAAACTCTAACATTCACATCCATCCTGTATAACAACTCTGGTGCTTACAGTTTCTTCCTCCAGTGGACTCTGCCACAGCAGTTTTTACAGAAAAAAAAAAAAAAAAAAAAAATCCATGCAGTTTAGCACAGAAAGGCAAAAACTGACTTTGTTATCTAGACTTCGGGTTTTTTTCATCTATCACTTTTATCTTGCTACGCTGTAAAGCCCAGTATCAAACTATCTCTATCATTCATCGAGTTTCACAAGCACTTAAACACAGTTATTCTGCAGCGCATCACTGGCTCGCTCCTAAGGAAGTGTGAACAGCAGCAGATTCAGACCCAACCTCCAGCCTTTCGCTTTCCCCTTCCAGCATTTTAGGATGTCAAAGAGCTTATTAATTTCTTCATATGGCAACAAACCCAATTGCTCTCCCATCTGCTCAGTGTTGAACACTCGAGTGCTCTGCAGGTCCATTTATTTGCTGAAGATAATCATGAACCAGACTACATACAGGATATAGAAAACCACCCTACACTCATGCTCCTGAACTGCCGTACCTACCAGACCTGCTGGTGTGTTCCGTGCCACGTAAAAGCAAGTGTTTTACTTCCGAACCGCGAGCAGAATAGTCAAGACACTAGGACTAATAAGCCTGCCTGAACTGGCTCTGAACGTTTCTACATCTGCAAGATTTTTAAACCACAACCTAGATAAACTTCCCACAGATAGATGATGAACCGATAACAAATATTTCTATATATAAACAACTTAACTTCCTTTTATCCTTTACTCTCAAAGCTACATAGGCTCTTTGCAATACTAATCCAAAAACACTAATGAATGCCAGACAGAGAACTGTCGTAACACCAGTCACAATATGATTTTCACTGCTTAACCTCATTAGCTTAGACAAAATGGATTGATACGGACTTTTTCTGGGGGGGTGGGTGGGGGACAGATAATCCAAGGTTTCCTG